CAGGACTGCCAGTGCCCGCCTCGGTGCGCCCCAGGTACCCATCTGCGGCGTGCAAGTACTCTGCCCACCGCGTCCCGAGGCCATCTGCATTTGATGTCGACCAGCCCGTGGTCGGAGCACGCCAAACAGCACGTTCACGGCAGAAGCACGCGTCCTTGCGCGATCGGGCGCGCGCGACGCCGTCCAGGACGATGCGCGGCGGCTCAACCGTTCGTCCGCTGCTCGCCTCGAGAGACCCAGGACGCCCAACTCTATCATCTTCAATGCCGTCCGGGCAGTGTTCTAGCTTCCTGGGCCACGATAACGCGCTGTTCTAGCCTGCGGGCCTTCTGACAGCCTCCTATCGCTGTCTGCCTCCGGGCCTTCTCTCTTTTTGCTGCGAGATCCAGTGGAAGCATCTTCAGCTTGCTGCCATTCCGTGCCTCCTGCCAAGCATTTTCACTCGAGCAAACGGCCTGCCAAGGCGTTCCAGCACACTCTTCCACCCAGCTCGTCCCGCACGCCCGCATGTGCAAAGCGCGTGACCCGCGCTAACCGCCCCCCATGGCCCAATATCAACCCACTACAAATCACCCTCAGCTGCCGTTTCGCGCAGGCTGATCGACGGCGAGGCTATTCCTTTTCAATTGTCTATTTTTCTCTCTTCACCTCGTGCGTCTTTCTGCCACCGGTCGGCCGGGGCTGTCACAGATCGGAAGTGCGCTAGGCCATGTACGGGATAAGCTGGGGGGTTGCCATATAGAAGAAGACACGGCGGAGGCGATAGGTCGGGCGGCATGGCGCGGCGGAAACGGCTCAGGGTCGTAGCCTTTCTGCGCCGATCGTGTTCGCTGTGCGTGCGTGCCTGTGATCACAGCACTTCTCTCTGCGCTGTCTTTCCTTAATGTTGGTGGCCGGGCGCATCGCAGGTTCTGTCGCTCTCCGAGCGGGCGTCGCGATATGGCGCGCGCGGTGGGACCATTCCGGCGTCCGGGAGCTGTCTGCAGCCGAGGTCCGAACTGTAACTGGAGAACAAGAGTACCTAGTCGCAACGCGAGCTGGTGGGTTGCATGGTTTGTGGAGGCGATGGCGGCTGGCAGTGGTTGCGAGGGTCCGTCCTCCTGATACGCAGTCTTTCTCGACAGGAGCCTTCTGGCCCAGTCGTTTTTCTCTCTCACATTTTTCGTTTTCCGGCCCTCTCGTCATTTCTGGGCAGGCCCCACTCACCCGCGCAGCCGACATCACCGCGCCCGCCATCAGCTGGGCCAGCGAGCTCCCACGCGGACCCGAAAGCGGCTAGGCCACCGCGACTCTAAACACCTTCCTTTCCTGGCGCGAGCGAGATCGCCCATCTCGTGCCATAAAAACGAGACGCGCGTGGAGCGCGCGTTGCGCGCTGTTGGCGCTGGCGTGACAACGCAGGTGCGCGTGACAAAATCGTGCTCCTGCGATCTGGCGGGCGCCTGCTCCTCGGACGGACGCAAACATGATTAAACTCCAAGATATTCTCTGATGATCGCTGCGCGCGACGGAACTAGAATGAGAGGGGGCTGCATGAGCCGTCGGACGTTGGGGATGCGTTGTGCTCGGAGAAGACTGCATGTATTTGTAGTAGGAATATGTCACGAGAGCGGGATGTTGCCCGTGCACGATCGCAAGGATGAGCGAGGCTTGGGCCGCAAGACTTCATTTTCCGTTCTTCGCCCATGGGGAAACCACGCGACGGACAGGCCTCCCCGCGCCTGCGCTGTGGCCCTTGGAGGGAAATTTTCACGGCAATTCCGTGCTTGGAGTCGACGCTGAGACTTGGCGGGGCGCGCGCCAGCGCGCCGAGGTGCTGGGCGTGTTGCAGTGGGCGTCAGAGGCATAATGGACCTTTGATCTCTTGCGGAGGCCATGTCTCGTCTCGAGCGCGTCGTGCCCCGGATTGCTAAACCAGAATTTTTCGGAGGTGTGTTTCGAGTGTCGCTTGAAGACTAGCCGCTGGGCACGAAATTCCATGATATTCATGTGCCGACCGTTGGTCATCTCTACCGAGCGGCCTGTGAGACAGAACGTCAGGGTGGATGTCGTGACAAACCTCGCAAGACACACGCTTGCCGAGGGCCAGACAGCCTTTTTCTGTGCACAGGCAGGGTCGCGCAGACTGCTGCTCCCCTCCGTGCCAGTGCGGATGACGCACGGGATGGGTCCGGTCGGAAACTCGACCTCGTGATGCGCCTTTACACGATCCCGACGGTTACCAAGACGTTCGCCCGGATCTCGATCCACTTAATCCCAGTAGGCTGCAGCGGGTCTTATTAAACTGTATCGCGTGCCGGACGCACTAGTGCGTATCGCACGCCCGACATCTTGGTGCTGGATCTTCGTCCATAATTGCGCCGCGGAAGCGCGTCTCGACTCGTTAGACTCGCTAGCGTGACGGGTCTTGATGTCGAACACTCCCGCCAAGGCCTTGTCGTGCCGCTTCGCGTTGACGAGGGCTGTGTCGCTCTTGCCTAGGCCTGTCTGCTGCTGGTGGCCAAACAGTGAGAATGAAGTATGTCTGAGATCGGGTGGTGTCAGCTCGATTGGCACGTCCATCGCGACGTGCTGTATCAGAAGCAGGGCTCCTTCCAGACTGCCGATTAATGTGTCTAGCGCGATGCGATGAGCAGCCGGGCGGTGTAAGAATGATGCTCACAGGATCTGATGGCAGGGCAAGGAACTATTGCGAGTGACATATGCCCTTGGCGAAAGCTAGATGTGCAGTTGGGATAAATGTCACTTGGAATACATCTCACTCACATCTGTCAAGTAAGGCTTTGACCCACGACCAGCAAGGAACAATCACTGAACACAGAAGTCAATCATGGTGGCACAATCATACTGCACTATCGTATTCATTGAGCATCCTCACGGCGCAAGAAAAAACAAACAGATCATCCCACCCACGACGGGCAAAGTGGAAGTGGAGCCCGACGGACCCGTGCGAGAAGCGATCTCAAAGCTGAGACCCACAGGGTCCAATTCAATACCAGCTGCGCGCAGTGTAGAGCTGAGCATGCTGACGGAGATGTGCATGCTCGGCATGTCGTGCTAGGTCGTAGGCACACTGCCAGGATAGCAGCGAGACGGGCCGAGCGTAGCTTGCACTCGATACCAGACCGCCGGTGCGACACCGCACCAAGAGCTGATGCGCCTCCATCACGCCATATAATCGCGATGCGACCAGTCGTGCGACGTCGGCGAATCGCAGCCCGGCGCACTAAGACTCGCTCGCGCTCGCTGACAGCAAAACGCCGATAAGGTCTGCAGCTATCACACACCAAAGTAAGTACCGGCCGGAGGCGCCGCGACGCTGCAGCTAGAAGACCAGACGAGGAGACCGACGGGCATACCGCATCACACTCCTTCTCGACGACGACCACAGATGATAGCGGTATGCAGCCTGATGGGGCCGGCGCAGCCTACGCCCGCCCTCGCGTGGCTTGGTGTGCCTATGCAATGGCACCGCGCGCATCTGAGCAACCTAAACCCGAAGCCGTACTTGCCTACTAATGCAGTTTAGACCCGTGGCGTCGTTCCGGGGTACGCAAGACGCAGACGGCGTCGCACACGGCTATTCCTCTGGTGTATAAAACGATGCCAGACCGCAATCCGTAAGGATGTGCTGCGGGGGGCGCGCCCTAGCGGGCGGGCCTTGCCCATCGGTTGGGAGCCGTGCGCAGAAAAGGAGGGAGAGCGGGCCCGACAGCCGGCATCGCTACGTACGATCGGGAGGGCGCAGGAAGGAACTCGGAGCCTATAAATGACGGGTCACGCAGCGTCGTGACAGCTCATTTTTTCTGCCTATCGAAGCAAATGATCTTCCCATTCCAGCATTCATCCTGCTGTATTTTTGAGTTCGGGTTCGCAGTGGGTTCGCTCGTATTGTTGGGCTGCCGCGCTACGCCAGAGTGGCCTGGCGAAAGAGGTTAAGCTCGACGCCCTCCGGATCTATCTGTCGCCATGGCGTGCGATCCTTCGCTCTGGGTGCATATGTATGAAACAGCTTCCAGCACGTCATTCACGATTCCAAACTGCCGTGATGTAGCCAATGACTGCCGTGGCGCATGAACAGGACAATCGCAAAAAGTACAAGTTAATGGGGGCGGCGTACCTATCAGAGAAGTCTGAGAGAACAGAACCCTAAGAGTCAATTCGACGTCGCATGCCCTGGGGAGGACAGAAGGACCCAAGGGAGCCAGTGCGGAGACACCAATTCAGCCGGCGGGATGCTGGCTTCGCCACGCTCACAGCGTCGCATCATACACATATCTGCGACGATTTAGCTCGTAAGTGGAACTCCCACCACGGGACTCTCCCACGTACATGATCCACCGGTGCATCCAGGTCACGGGTCCGTTAATAAGACAAGCACGTTTTTGTTGACAAGGGCCCCTGTAACCCCCGTCCATTGAAGTATCGGCTAGGGCACGAAAAGGAAGACAGCAAGCACTGTGGTCCGGTCACCGCTCGAGGGCCGGAATGTACTGGGCACTCAGGCGCACCTCAGTACGTTCATGTATCACGTCCAATGCAGTTCCAAGTCGCCAAAGGCTACCAAACGCGCTTCGGATGCGACGGCCGAACTCTGTTCACTCGTGAGTGACGGAAGCATGCCTAAACTGCGGGGGGGTACTCGCGTGAGTAGAACGGCTGTGGACAGGGAAGAAGGCTGGAAATCTACCTTAATGCAGTGTGGGCGCAGCGGAGTCCAACTGAATTGCGGGAGAAGCCAACAGAGTACATTGACACTCGCGTCTCCTTATCCTCCACCACGAAGCTGGGCTGAGAGTGGGTCAGCATCTACGGTTCACAGACCCTTTACACCGAAGTGCTTGCGGTCGGTTTCGTCAAAGTCGATAAGCCAGCTGCATCATCTCCTCGATGAGGACGGAGCATCAACCGAGCACTTTGCTATTGCGATAGAGCCATGGTTCGGGCCATAGTGCCGCTACCATCAGGCTACGTACAAGCCGATCAGAGCACGTAATGCGTTGCCGTGTTCCAACCGCCTCTCGCCGTCGCTTTTGGCAGGTCTCCCTGCTCAGCTGACAACACAACTCGGAAACGATACAAAGCTTCGGACGAGTCTGGTCTCCACACTCGCATCTTGCTTGGGCGCGTCAGCAAAATTGAATCATATGGGACGTTACAGAAACAACAAGAGACGATAGGAGTCGCAGGCATCCCCGTTAACAAGATCATTGAGGAGGGGGCCGGAAACTGTACGCGCGCAAGGCAGCGCCTGGTCAGTGAGTGCGAGTTTTGAGTGGTGTCATGGTACATACCCGGGCGGGGGTCCGAACCCAGGAGGGGGAGGGAAGGGCATGCCTGGGGGAGCACCAGGGAAGCCTGGCATACCCGGAGGCGCGAATGGCATTGGGGGTCGTTGCAGAGAGGGTGGGCCCGCTGAAAAAGTAAACAATCAGCAAGTATTCTAGCGCGACAAAAGCTATGAGGACGCACTCGGAGGCATCATACCCATACCGCGACCAGCAGGCATCCCCCTTCCGGGACCAACGGGGAGCTGGCGCACGCAAACAAAGGCCATCAGTTCGGCTGACCGGAAAATAGACTGGGATTACGCACTGCGTTCTTTTTCTCGTCGTCTCCTGCGGGTGGGGGTCCCTCGACGCTCAAGCTCACGACCGTTTCTCCACGCAAGATCACAAGACCGAGCGTCCTCTTCATCTCTTGGGCAGGGCCCGCCTCTGTCTCGCCAGACTTCTTTTTTGGCCGAACACGCCTGAATTCTTCGCATTCGGCGAGTACGAGGTTCATGTGCCTGTCGAACGCGAGCATTTGGCCGACGAATGCGCGACCGTCGTTGACCGTAACTTTGAGCCTCCAGTTGATGAGGCTCAACATCTTGCCTCCCTTGGATTTGGGCGGCGGCTACCAAACGAGTCAGCATACGCTGTGAATGATGCGCCGAGACAGTACTGACCATCGTGGGCGATGGTGGGTTTTGGAGAGTGGTGGCCTGCTGGACGCCGCAACCAACGAGCTCGACGCAAGGATAGGGCGCCAAACACAGCCAAACATGCCGAAAACAGGTTGCATCGAGCGCTCCCAGCTTTGTCCGAAATCCAACTTCGAGGTTTGCATTGTCTCGCCGCTCACAGTTGGCCCTCGGTATGCTGCTATACAGTATACCTGAGCTGACGCCGGATGTGTTACATTAATCAGCAGCTTCAGTCCGTCGGCCGTAAAGTCCACAGCGGTTACCGCCGTACTGCTTCGTCGGAAGTCACGCTCGAGTAGACACTGACCCTCTTAAAGCTCGCACATGCTTGAGCCAGGATCTCTACGCTAACACCTACCAGCCAACCCAATCAGACATGCTGCCCGTTCGCAATGCACTTACTCGTCTTCTTAGTAGGTCCCCTGACCCAGTCAGCGCCTCATCGAGTGCAGCATACTCACAGGCGATGTCGCAGATATTGAGGTAGATTTACACACAAAATATATATCGACAAAGTTAGCTGAGGTTGTGCAATGCAAAGGTGCCCATCATCTGCGCCCCGATGTCCGGTGGTGGCGATGCCAAACTTGCGGTATGTGCTTCCACTTACATCCTAGTTTACAGGCGAAGGCTCACCCAGAGTGACAGGTAGAAGCCACCCTTGGTGGTGGATTTGGCTTCGTGGGAGCCGGTACGTTCTCTTGGTTCGTTTCAGCGCCAGTTATGCTGGAGCCTTGGGATTCCACACGTAGGGTACTGGACCGCCCAAAAGGTCCAAGACGAACTCGCTTATGCGCGGACGGCTCTTCAAAGGGCTGGGCGCGTCCGTGCCGACGGGAAGATCCCCGTCGGTATCTCCTTCTTCGGCTATAAGCTCGATCAGAATGAGAAAGCGGCGTCGGAGGTGCTCGACGTTGCGCTGGCTGCCAAGGTCCAGGCCATCTGGCTTTCATTTGGCGACAACCTTGGCCGTTGGGTCCAGTACCTTCGCAACAAGGACAGCTCCACCCCGAAGACCCATCTGTTCATTGTTGCCAGCACAGTGGAAGAGGGATTGGCCGCCAAGGAATTGGAGGTAGATGCTATCGTAGCACAAGGTCAGCTGTTCTCTCTGTCCCTTCACGTTAATGTTTCACCAGTGGCACGCCTACCCAGGGATCGAAAGTGGAGGGCATGGCAGCAGCCACTCGCCCTCGGTCTTTTCTCTTGTGTCATCTCTCCTGCCACAGTTTTCTGGGGGCCCTCTGCTTCTTCCAGCAGGCGGCATCGCGAACGGAGCCCAGATCGCCTCCTACATTACTCTTGGCGCCGCCGGAGCGGTTCTTGGCACACGTTTCCTGCTCACACCGGAGAGCCTGTACACCGACAAGCAGAAGGCCGCCCTGCTGGCCGCCACGGCGAGCTCGACGGTGCGCTCGGTCGCGTTCGACCAAGTGCGCAATACGTTGGGTTGGCCGGCCGGCGTCGACGGGCGCGGGCTGCGGAACCGGCTCGTGCGGGAGTTTGAGGGTGACATGGACCTTGCGACGATGCGCGAGCGATTCGCGGAGAACGTGAAGAGCGGGGGCGATCCTGAGTATGCCGTGACCTGGTCTGGCGCGGGCGTGGGCGAGATGCGCGAGATCAAGGGTGCCCAGGTAGGCCATGCCGTCTCATCGTGCTTGGGAACATGCTCATTGCGCGTGTAGGAACTCATGCGTCAGCTCCACCGGGAGGTGATTGAGCGGCTGAGGGCGACGCAGCAGCTTTTGGACGGTCCTGAGGCTCATCTCTAGACAAGTGTGACTCGAGTATCTTTGTCACGTCGGGCGATGTACTGAATCTGATACGATGTCCAATGACATCAACGTGCGAATGGACACCGTACCTGTCAATGGTGATAGGTTTCTGCCAGCTATGGGTGGGATCCTCGCCGTTAATATTGCATAATTGGACGCAATGGTAATCTACGTTAATCGCTACCTTCTTCCACGGACTCGTTAAACAAATATTAATCTCCCGTGTTTGTTGGCTTAAGTAGACCGTCTTCTAGATCTAAAAGATCTATTCAATCAGTTATCGAATACTCTGGCTATGGCATAGCGATCCCGCCGACGACCCAATCATCGACGGTTCACAACAAAACAGTGTTGTCCTGGGCGGGCAGTAACTCGGAATGGCACGACAACACCGAGCTGACTAAGGACCATCTTCTGCCTTCTGGCCTTCGATCTCAAACGCGATAGCAGATTTTGGCTGAAAGGCCCTAAAGCTTCGACTTTCGGCTGAAAGCATAAGAGACAGCCGGATTAATGATACCTGTGTATGTGCCACAAATCTAGCGCGCGACTCCCGTTGGAGACTCTACCCAGAGCATCACCTTGAGGCTCTTCCTGCATTCTTTGAAGACACGCATGTTTTAGCAACTTGGCGGGCGTGTTCCCAATATTTTGTGCTGAGACGACCTCGTCGCAGTGTATCCCGGCCTGGCATTCTCCGGGTCGCGAAGTTGCCTAATTTGGCAGAGGCGGGAGTCGGTTAACTCAGCACCTCCACGAATCTTACGCCTCCGCACAGCTTCCCTCCCCCGTTCTGTCAAGATGCAAGCTCAATCGTCGTTGCCCACGTCTGCAACACAGGCGAAAGACAAGCACTACATGCTTCTTGGACACAGTTTGGCCCGACTATCAAGGGCCGTCGGGCAGACCGCGGATTTGTGCGAGCTTATGAGAATCAATCTGGATGCTATGAAGGTGCTAGCAGCGACACACGCGGCTCAGTAAGTTGCAGGAAACTCTAGTACGCATTTATGACATATATAAACGTGTCGTTTCTAGGTTTATGACGGTTGCTGCGGAGTTGGCCCCGGAGCCAGAAGAAGCTGGCGACGACTCTGCACAGGAGAACGAACAAATTCGTGCAGAGTAGCTCGGCCCAGCTGTGACCCGCTAATCCTGCCTCCTTGTCTGAGGGGTCATCGTGTGACAATCCTCACTTTGTCACGATGATCCCAATCGCCTGCCTGGCCCACGCACCTCCTACGCCGTCAATACACTCGACTTCGAAGCCCACGTCCCCTTGAAACGGTCTTCCAATCTCTTTCGTTCATTCATTGCACCCTCCAAAATGCATTACGCGTTAATCAAAAACTACTTCGCCAAATCAGGCTGTTGTGGCCACTCTGCCTTGTTGGTGTCTCACCCAACGTGACCTTGCTATTTAAGACAGTGCCACTGGCCGCGTCCATTGTCAAAACCTTTCCTTCTTCCACCATGCCGTTCATGGACCTGTTGTCCACGTATTCGCGGACAGTCTTACGAACTCTCCTAGGTGTGCTCTTAGGCACATACATACCCAAACGCACATTTCGCGTGAAAACGCTACCTGCTATTCCACGCCCCGACGTCCAACAGCTGCTTTCGTACCCAGGACAAGAGCAAGAAGAGACAGAAGCAGATGCCGCTCAAGAGCCCGCACCCGTACTGACCATTGAACCGCCACCGCCACTACACATCGCTGGTTGCTTCCCCTCAAACGTTTACCACAACGATCCTCTCACGCTCTGGCTCTCGTCCTCCCTTATAGGCGCTCTCAACGGTGGACAAGAACCTATCCAAGAAGTCGATAGCGTACTGCACTCTGTGCTGGTTCTTGCTGCATACCTCTTTGTCCTCGCCGCCACCACACTCTACGCGTCTCGCCACCGGCCTGCGCGTCACGGACCCGGTTCAAATCTTGCTGAACCGCATGTGTACCTCATCGGCCTTCCATATGCACCAACGCCATGGGAACGCGTCCTGTATAATCACAATCCTGGGGTGAAAACGATCGGATGTTGGGACGCTTATGGCGTGGACTTCTACGCTGCAAAACTGTCGGATGACATCGAGGCTCTCATAGGCGAAAGCACATCCTCCAGCATGGAGACTCCTGACGAAGGCCAGCGATACGCCGCTTGGATCGACCCCGAGAAACTCGACGCATTCACAAGTTGGATGGTTCGGCTTGGCTTTACCGACCTCAGAACTTCTGTCGAAGACATCTCCCCGCCTGACGAGCACCCCGACGCGATGCTAGTCGACTTCCGGTTCTCTGCCAAAGACGCCTCAAAGGAAATTATAACGAAGATCATCATGCGGTTCGTCATGCTGTCTGATGTGCCGAAGGACAGGACAGACTTCATCTTCTGGGACCTTGGCGAAGGATGGTTCAGGGCATTCGAGGTCAGCTCTTTTGAGATGGCCGTTATTCCCGTTGATGAACCCGAGTCGCAGAAGCACTTCGCGGAAGAGAACCTGTCTTACATGGCCAGTCTTCCGTTCTACGAGCCTCTGGAGGAGAGCATCACTGGCGGCTCTGCTAAGCAAGTCGCTGCAATTGCGAAGGCATCTTCTTCGAGACCAACTCCTCTGGTGATAGATGCTGCTTCGACCTCATCTTCTCTGAGAAGCGCCTCCGCCACAATCCCCGACCTGGATGAATTCAGCGATCTGAACTCGCCTTTTGCTGGGTCCCCTAGCTGGCTTGTAGGCGCGTTCCCAAGCTCGGACAAGCGTCCCTCGGATCCTTTTTCTTCGATGATGGACGATTTGACCGCGTCTGCCTCTTTCGTGATTGTGTCTGAAGGCCAGGAAGCAGCCAACAGCATTACACCAGTCACAAAGCTCATACCGGAACGCAGCACCGATAATGCCAAGGCCGATAAAACCCCCACCGAAGAAGTTCACCTCGATGTGTCACCCGCGGTAACTGGCAAGCCACAGGCCGATGGACGCGCTGCTCGGGAGTGTGTCCTGGGTCCACTAGTCGACGAGTGCATCCCTGTACCCGCAAATGCGCTTTCAGTTACGGGCAGTCCCGAAACCGAACGCCCTTCTTTCGAGCCTAACGAACCGGCGGAAGTCGATCTCACGAACAGCTTGGACTGCGCAAGCGACTCGGTGCCGACCGTTGCGCCTTTGGTTATGGACGAGTCCTGGACAGAGCACCTCTCGGAGTTCGTATGCGAGCAGCCCCAAGAAACTGACCTTGGCGCGATGAATGATGGCGACTTCGTGGACGTGACTGCTGAACTCGAACCAGAGGTTCACTATCAGACGGAACATGCGTCTGGCGAACCTGTCGAGGAACTTCAATTCCCTACAATCGAAGAAGCACAGTCTGTCATCTCTACCTCTCAATCCGCCGTTGTCGATATCTTCCGGATTATCGAGGAGACTCATGCCACCACCGAAGCTCTCGCTACCCCAGTCGATAAGATTGCCGATGCTACCAAGGCTGATGACGCTGAAGCCGACGCTCATGCCGCTGCTGCGGTCGAAAATGTACAGTCACTCTTGGATGTTTTTGACGAAGGTACGCAGTCATGTCCTTGTACCAAGCTCACATGCTCATGCTGCTACCATTCTAGAATCGAGTTTCGGTGAGGCTGGCGCCGAGCCGTACGTGGTTCATAATGAACCCGCCACCGAGGAGACTGTTCTTGGCCCACTTGCGGATGCGAACGTTTGTGCCAAGGCTGCGGGGCCCACGGCTGAGGAAGTCGATGCCGAAGCGAGCATGCAAAGTACTCAGGATATGGAGTTTGCTGACGAAACACTGGAACGCGCAGAACCCGAGGAAGCCGCTGAAGTCAACGATACTACTGAGCCTGCCGTGAACGGGTGCATTAGATTCATCGCTTCTGCGGTCAATGTCGTGTCACCGATCGAATCCATGGCCGAGGTTGCCGGTGTCCACGAGGAAGCCAAGAATGCGCTCGCCACAGATTATATCGGCTTTGGCCCTAGCGTCCTGGACTTGCCCGACGAGGCTGAGGCTAAAGTCACTTCTCCAGACCATGTGGTCAAGGGTGCATCTGAGATTGAGCATACTGAAGACGAAAATCCTGGTATTCCGGAGCCCAAGATTACGCTCGAAGATTCAGAAGAGATGGCCGACGATACGGTCGAGGTTCCAGAAATCGAAGCCGTTGCTTCTCAGCTCGAGTCTGTGGTGCTTGACGCGGCGACCTGGGTTGACACTCGCACGGGGACCGTCGAAGAGGGTGCGCCTGTCGCCCGTAAAGAGCCCGCCGAAGCCACCGTCCCGATTATTGAGACTGAGGAGGTCGACTTCTCTTTCGACCGGAAGCGGGCACTTGACGCACCGGCAGTAGATCCCGAGCTCGATGTCGCTCTCGATGAGGTAGACGATCCCAAGCGGGCTGCTTCTGAGGCTCACGTCGCACTACCAGCTGCGCAAGATGTAGTTCGCGAAGGAGAGTCGGTCGTGGATCCTTTTGCCGATATTTTGGCAACGAATGAAGACACCGCACTTGCACATGGCGAAATTGACCCCGCTACCACTCCCCTCCCCCACGATCTTGACAACGGCTTGACCGTCCTGGGCGAGCCCGCTATCACCGCGATCGACCCGGCGAATGTGCCTCTCCCTGAGAGTCGAGACGAAGATCTGGCGCTGCCTTTGAGGTCCGTCAGTCCAACCATCGAGGATCCGGCGCTCATGGGTGACTTCAATGCTAGTATTCGAGCATTCAACGAGCCTGTGAATGTTACTCAGTCGGTATCGGGTGAAGCTGCTGAATATATCGGCTCTGAGGACATGGGAGCACCCTCGCCGACCGGAATAGAAGTACCTATCGAGGAGGCATCGGAGATTCCAGTTTCATCAATGGAGACGTCGCTTGACACCTTGCTCGATGCCGCGGTCAATTCAGTGTGGTCGCTGCCTCCTCCGGAGACAGCTGAGGAGGCGGCTGCTCCCGAGACGGAAGTGAAGAAAAACAAAGAAGCTAGCGACGCTTAAGCTTGAGAAGACAGTCTTTGGGTTCTCATTAGTAGTATTACAGTACAACAGCAATGAGTATCGATACATAGGCATCTATAGTATACACTGTATTTTACAACTCTGCGATCTTGATTATGACGGCGCGGCCTCCTGCTTCTGCTCCTCCTTGTTGAGGTTCGGGTCGCCCTCATATCCTTCGACCACCATGTCATTTAGGCCAAGCTCCTCATTATGCTCCCATGTGCGTTCGTACTCCTCGATCGTCATGTTTGGGTCAGGATCGGGTGCGTACAGGTTCTGAAGATAGGAGTTCGCAAGCGGGTCGTCGAGGATGAGTGTGAACGGATGCTCAACGGCCTTAACCGCCTTGAGCTTTGCAAGGAACTTTTCGAATGCGCCATCGTCCGACTTGGCGTCGTTGAAGACCTTCACTGACAGCTCTTCGTAGACTTGGTCGAGGATACCCTCGAGCGTCGTGAAGCGGCCACCGAGTGTACCTCGTTGCAGGACGAGGTCGATTTCTGGGATCGAAAGACCACAGGACTCGGACTGAGCAGGTCAAGTGAGTGAACTGGTCTCTTCAGCAAACAGCTGATTACATACCTTGAGAACATCCCGACTGAGATCTTCCTTGTCCTCGACCTTGAGGATGATCTTCTTGCCCAAGGGCGAAATCGCAGAGCCGGACTTGACCTCGTTGTCACGATATCCACACTTGTCGCAGTTGACAGACATGATGAGGATGTCCTTGAAGTACGGAATATTGACCTTCTTGACAAGGGTGTCTGACTTGTGCCCGCAGCTCGAGCAGACACCGGGGAATATATAGATCTCTTCGTTCTCGCCCTCTCCACCACCTCCGAGCTGCTCGTCGGGGTTCTGAGTATCGGGCTCGGGTTCCGCATCGGGATTGATGAGACCAAGCTCGATATTCTGCTGACGCGTGCGGTGGTACGTGCGCATATTCCACTTTGGATCCGCCATCGAACCGATAAACTCGAGGAAAGAGTCTCCCGCGGGATCATCGAGCGTGACCGTGAATGGCTTCATCGGCGCGTCCTTGTCCGCCGCACGCTGTACCCGGCCAGTTGACTCCTCATTCTCGTCCTCGTCGGACGCGATAATCTCCCTGATACCATCAATAATCTGCTGGATCTTATTGTAGGCAGCTTCGTTCTCGATACGGCGTAGGGGCTGATCGGTACTGAGGTCTGTGACTACATCACAAAGTAGACCTTCGACCGTAGTGAGCTGACCACGATGCGGGGGAATCGTGAGCTCGAACTCCGGGATCGTGACTATGCATGTCTCGGATTTGACGATCTGACGATTGAGGTCTTCACGTGCAAGAATGCGGACGGTATATACGGTTCCCTCCGCTGCAGAAATGAGTCAGTACAAATCGGCATTTCCGTAAGGGCGAGGCCACTCACGTCGGATTGTCCCAGCAGACTGAATCTCATTATTTTGGAAACCGCAGTGCTCACAGCGGAAGGACATGACGATGACCTCCCGGAAGAAGGGTATGCTGGTGAGTAGCAGTCTGGTTATACCCTTCACATCAGATAAGTTTGGCTGGACACACACGAGCTGAAAGCGACGCACCTGCTGGTAGCATTTCATGCAAAGCGACTCAATCTCCTGCATCGGTCGCTCATCGTCGTCCGTCGTTGCTTGTACGGCTCCGACTTCTGGGGGCTTGGCAGTGTCGTCTACAACTTTGCCAATCTCAGGGAAGAAGTTGTGCTTTGTCTCTGTCTTATCTACCATAGTGGAAGAGTTTGGTTTTATCCGTATGGATGTCAATGCGTGAGCTAAGTTATGTCTAGGATGTGAAGAGAAATTTTTGGCCGACCGAGGAGACTTTATGTCCAAGGTCGGAGAAAGCAAGTTACATACATTACACAGGCGGTTATCCTTATCTCGATTCTCCCATATCCGGGACGCTGAGATCACCAACGTCGATCGTTCTCGCAGGTGCACCAAACGAAAATTTGACTGAATTGGATGCTTCATTTGAGTTGTACACACTTATATTGCAACTACGAGATTCTCTGGCCTTCGTATTGTACTTACTGATACACCGGTCCCAAGGGAGCGAATGAATACACATGCTATACGCGGGATCTAGAAACGATGCCAGCATACTCTAGTGCACGATATCACACACCAGGTCGCCCTGGTTAATAGAGTCGCCTGCAGACCACATGCTGAGCATCCTTGCGGACCAGGTAGAACAAAAAAACGCACCCTCATGCACAACGACGCGCTTGACGTGGCCTGAGACGGGCGCAGTGACGGCTGACTCCATCTTCATCGCGCTCAAGACGCAGATCGGGTCGCCCTTCTTAATCTCCTGGCCTTCCTTGACACGAACTTCGACGACAACACCCGACATCGTCGCACCGACCGAGCCGGGGTCATTGGTAGCCTTCTCACGCGAGACAGTCTCAACTGCCGAGTTCTGATCCTCGACAGACACAGCACGGATCTGTGATTATTCTTTAGCGAATTGCATAGGAAAGAGCGAGGGGAAATGCGTACCTCGCCGTTGACCTCAAACCACACGTCGCGCTGCGCACGGCTCTCGATGACGGGGCCAACAGCCATGAGCCGGATGATGAGGGTTTTACCCTGCTCAATGGAGATGTGCATCTCCTCGCCAACATCGGGGCGGCCAAGGAAGTAGCGTGTGGGGAGGACGCTGAGGTCACCGTACTTCTCGACGAACGACTGGTACTCCTCGAAGACCTTCGCGTACATCACGTAGCTCGTGACGTCCGAGTCTGTGATGTGTTTGCCGAACTTGGCACGGAGCTCGGCCTTGATCTTCTTAAAGTCGAGAGGCTCCATGCTCGCACCAGGACGGCCGTCGATGCGCGGCTTGTTACGGATAACCTTGCTCCGGAACGGCTCGGGGAAGCCGCCGACAGGCTGGCCAAGGTAGCCCTGGAAGAACTCGACGACGGACGAAGGGAAGTCGAGTTCCTCGGCACGGCTGAGAACGTCCTGCTTGGACAGCTTATTCTGCACCATCCACTGTGCGAAGTCGCCGACGACCTTCGAGGAGGGTGTGACCTTGATGATATTGCCGCAGAGCTCGTTCGCTTCGATATACTTTTGCTTGATCTCTGTCCACTGAGTACCCAGTCCAAGTTGCGCAGCCTGGAACATGAGGTTCGTGTACTGTCCTCCAGGCATCTCGTGCGCAAAGACCGACGAGTCTGATGCACGGACATTTGCCTCGAAGCACTGGTACAGAATGCGGACCTGACTCCAGTACAGATTAAGCGCCTGGATGTCCGCGTAGCGGATGCCAGTGCCAAGGTTGGTCTGCTCAAGGGCGGAGCAGATCGCACCCATGGGAGGTTGAGAGGTTAGGCCGGACATACCTGTAAATTCTGTTAAACTCGGGAAAAGAGGCGAAAAAAAAAGATACGCACTGTCGATGGCGACATCGACAACATCGGCGCCGGCAGCAGCGGCAGCGAGCATGGACGCAGTCGAAATACCCGCCGTATCATGCGAATGAAGGTGAATAGGTAAGTCAGGGTACTTCTCGCGGATGGAACCAACCAAGCTGTGGGAGCCATTAATATACCATTCAACACGCATCCAGATGCAACACCCACAGTTTCGCAGCCTCGGGCTTCAAGAGACCCGCCATGTCCTTGATACAGAGAACATGAATGCCCTCGGTGACGAGCTCGTCGACGAAATCAAGGTAGTACTTGAGCGTGTACTTGGTCTCGTTCGGGCTGGCGACATCGCCGCTGTAGCAGACAACAGCCTCTACAACACCGCCTGCCTTCTTCGCCGCGTCGATACCGAGACGGAGGTTCTCGATGTAGTTGAGCGAGTCGAACACACGGAAGATGTCCAGCCCATTCTCTACCGCCTTCTTCGAGAAGTCGTAGATTGCGTTGTCGGGGTAGGATGTATATCCAACGCCGTTCGCACCACGAACGAGCGCCTGGAGGGGGATGTTCGGCACGAGCTTGCGAAGTGTGCGCAGGCGCTCCCATGGATCCTCGTACAGGAAACGCATTGCGACATCGAATGTTGCCCCGCCCCAGCACTCAAGCGAGTACGCATTTGCGAGTGCATAGGAAGTCTCCTTCGCGATGTTCACCATGTCGATCGTGCGTAGGCGTGTCGCGAGCAGCGACTGATGCGCGTCGCGCCATGTTGTGTCCATGATCAGCACGCCGGGGTACTGGCGTACGGCCTTCGCGAATGCATCGGGACCGTGCTCGACAATGATGTTGCGCCAGCCTACCTCGCAAGGCAGGCCTGCATCGAGTGGAGGTCCATTCGGGTCGTCACGGTTCTGGAACGGCGGAACAACAACGTCGTCCTTGAGGCCGGGTTCGCCCTGTTGACCTTTGATTGAGCTGCCGTTGACAGCGAGGTCGCCGAGATACGCAAGCAGCTTCTGAGCACGGTTCTGGCTCTGCACAAGCTTGAAAAGTTCAGGGGTGTCATCGATGAAAGTCGTCCAAGTCTTGCCGCCGATGAAGACATCGTGAGTCAGCAAGCGGAAGAGGAAAGGGATATTCGTCTTGACACCACGGATACGGAACTCGACTAGGGCGCGAAGCATCTTCCGGCGAGCAACCTCGTACGTTGTGCCGCTGACACTGCACTTGACGAGCAGCGAATCGTAGTGAGGCGTAATCTGGGCACCCGCAAAACCGGAGCTGGCATCCAAACGGACACCGTTACCACCGGCACTGCGATAAACCTCGATCTTGCCGGTGTCTGGTTGGAAACCCGTGGCGGGATCCTCAGTAGTAATACGGCATTGAATGGCAAAGCCTCGCTTGGTGATGGCGTCCTGAGTCAGACCGAGCTGAGGAAGAGTTGCCCCTGCAGCGATCTGGATCTGCGCAGCGACGATGTCAAGGCCGGTGATTTCCTCTAGACGTCCCAATTTCAGCAAAATGCCGCGAGTAGAAAGGTTCTGCCGACTCACCAGTGATAGTGTGTTCGACTTGAATACGAGGATTGATCTCGATGAAGTAATGTCTGCCCATCTGGTCGACCAAGAACTCAGCAGTACCGGCGTTACGATATCCAACGCTCTTTGCAAGCTTGATTGCATCGCCAAGGATCGCCTGGCGAATCTCCTCGGGAAGATGTGTCGCAGGAGCGACCTCAACAACCTTCTGATGACGGCGCTGGACCGAGCAGTCGCGCTCAAAGAGGTGGATGGTGTTGCCCTGCGCGTCTGCAAGGAGCTGCACTTCGATATGGCGGGGGCGCTCGAGGAAGCGCTCAATGAAGACTGTGCCGTCGCCGAACGCGGACTTGGCCTCGCTCACCGCACGCTCGAAGGAGTTCTTGAAGTCGGACATCTCGCGCACAACACGCATCCCACGGCCTCCGCCGCCCATCGCAGCCTTGATGATCACTGATCACGACCTTCGGGTTTGAATTCTAGTAAAGTCGCAATAGGACGAAGTTACTCACCCGGGAACCCGTATTCCTCGATAAAGGAGTGGGCACCGGTGTAATCACCTACAGGGCCGGGTGTACCGGGAACAACTGGCACGCCGATTTTCATGGCTGGTAGCAAAGACTCAGGATCGTGAGGAAATGTGGCTATATGCGCCTTGGCTTACCGATCGTACGTGCCTTGGTCTTGTCGCCAAGTGCGTCGATGACCTCTGGACTCGGACCGACGAAGGCAATGCCAGCCTGCTCAACTTTGCGCGCGAACTCAGCATTTTCGGAGAGAAAGCCGTATCTTCAGCTCTCGGTTAGCACCCGGCGTCCGTATGCATAAGGGTCTGAGACTCACCCAGGGTGGATCATATCGACACCATACTGCAGCGCGATCCTGATGATGTCCTCTTGCGCGAGGTATGCCCCAACGGGAGTGAGGCCCTTGCCAACTTGATACGCTTCATCGGCCTGTGTAATGTCGTCGCTCTAGCATCTGTTCTCCCTTGCGAGCATCCACACACTGGACGTACCTTCTGACGGTGCGCTGACAAGCGATCTTCAAACGAGTAGATAGCGACGGTGTGCATCGCGAGCTCATGCGCGGTACGAAAGACACGAATCGCAATTTCCTGTATAAAGGAAGCGCATACAGTCAACCCTTCGTCTTGTCATTTATTCCCGGTAAGAAAGATGACTCACACCACGGTTCGCGACGAGGATCTTGGTCAGTGGGCCTGAGTGGCCCGCCGACTTCCTGCGCATCGTCTGGATGGAATGCACAGGCGTGCCGGGGGCACTAGGTGTGACGGCGAATATGGGCGCGAGACGCGCCGGGTGCAGCGTCGCGGACGAAGCGTTGCTTGACATCTCTCGTTGTAGGTGGTGGTGGGGAAACAAGAAGTTCTAGGGGACGGCGAGGAGTCAAAGCAAAGTGGTAGATTGATCGATCGCGTGCTTTATCTGCGCAAACGGTGACGCGAGCGAGCGGGGACGCAGGGGAAGTACAAACGACTTGATCGCGTGCAGCGGCCAACGGGTTGATACGCGTCGAGGCTCAGTACGCACGATGAGCAAGATGAGAACGAGATGGGGCCTTGGGAAGAAAGAGAGTCTAGATACTAGAGACGAGGAGGCTCATATAGCTTGGCCTGAAAGCATCGAGCGGCAATGACCGCAATCACGCGCGCGCTTGCAGTGCATCGCGAAGAGACGTCACTGCCGGCGGGACCGCCATTCTGCTTACGCTGTCGGTGTTAGCGCGGCCACTCCGCATAGCACCCGCTCGAAAGTTTGCTGCACGGTATGGGTACAAGCACTGTAGAGATAGGTAGATAGGAAGCGGGCGCCGCCGCCAACAGGGAGGGGTAGGGCGGGCCAAGGTGCGAATTTACCCTCTACGTGCGATAACGGCCAAGGCCGGTGGGGCATCGATGCAGCTGCCGGCGCACGTCGTGCTATTCGAGGCATGCGAAAGATCAGCGTCGACCATCTGACTCTCTCGCCACATCTTCCCCACGACGTATGAGTGGCTTCCGCCACCGAGGTTCCGCCCAGTGCCAGCATAAATACCCCTAATCTTGCCAGCGCATCGCGCGATATGGTCTTGCGTCTAACATACGTCTATAAAAAGGGCTATCCTTCGCGAACCTAGTCTCGCGGGCCAGACTACGGCTTCCGCGTCATGGGCAGAACGTTGTTCTGCACGGCCATTTCTACTTTCCTCTGGTTGTTCTTCGCGACAGCGTATACCACGCCTGCGAAGAAACCGACAGAAACAGCTGACACTGAGCCCAACGTGACGGGGTCGCCAAAAAAGATCATGCCCGAGGCTGCCACGGGCAGCTTGTTCAAGGCTCCTACCATGCTGAACACCATATGATTGAGCTCCAAGGATGACACAACAATACATTCTGCATACCTGTACGTCGTGCTACTCGTTACGCGCACACACCACGCAGTAGTGTACGAAATTCCCACCGCCGCAGCGCCTGAGAACGCGATCGCAAAGAAGAGGACGTTGCGTGTCTCCTCCGGGCTACAAAACAACCGTTCAATCTTATCCAAATGATCATAGCTTGATGCTCACAAGCTACGCGTCAGGTTGGTAGCGCTCCAGTCCTCCGCCACGATGGAGAAGAAAGCGAGCACGGGTATTGAGAGCAAGTTGTTATAAAACATAGAATCCCAGTCTGAGAATCCGGTAATCTTGATGCGCTTGCGCATTGTGAGGACCTAGGTCAGCTGTTCAGTGTGGTAGCGAACACGGACGACGCCAGCACGTACGTATGCAGCACTTGTCAAGCAATTGATGAGCATCCAAAAGTAACCGACGTTAATCTTCGATACAATGCCGGACAAATGCTGGAAGCCCCATCCCTCGCTTTCCAACACTGCCGGGTCCCCCGCAGTCAATGCATCGCTAATGTCTGCCCACGCTGCTATTAAAGATGAAAGAACCTAGTTCAGGGAAGATGCGTTAATTGTGGTATACGTGTATTAGCTTCTGCGCGTCGTACCATGAAGAAGAATGAGACGAGTGTAAGACCTGTCACACGGCCTCCGAACCAGATGACCTCACCATATGCCTAGGAAAATTATGTCTTAACACCCTTACACTTAGTTAGACGATCGTATACATACAATGAGGATGATAGTCAGGTTTTTGAAGATGGTGTACACTGGGATACTAAGATATTGCTACCGGCGGAATGAGCTGCTGGCCCACATCGGAAGGGCGATGGCGCTCACCAGACTCTTGGACCCAGTGTAGATAACGCTGACCAAGAGGAAGCTGATAGGAAACCACGCCTTAGCGTCCTTGGAATCCCAGTTGCGGAAGGAGATAATGCCAAGTTTCTTGACCAGGTACACACACGAGACACAGACAGTGCTTTGTATGCAGAGCAGGAGGAAGTTCATATTGAATTGTCTGCCTGAGACGACAAACTGGTCCCTCATCAGTCTGTGCGCCACGCTGGAGAACTTGCCAAGCGTACCTTGTTCACAACGGTCATGAGAATTGACGCGAAGCAATAGCATACTATGGGTGGTACTGGCGAGGTTGCAGAATGAGGACACGCTTGGAAGGACGCTTAGAGGGCTTACTCGAAGAGACGACAGGCCCCTCCTTGGCACTGCCAGTTGCAATCGCCTTCCTCATTTCGACGACGTCTTCCTGCTCGTCATTGCGGTCTGACGACATGTGTATCACAACCCGTTTAATCCAAGTATTTCAAGGATGCACGATAAGCAGAAGCGTCTCTGCTTGCGGAAGAGCCACTATAGACGAGGGGTCGCAAGGCTGTGTAGTGCTTACGGCGCGCAAACTCGTGAGATCTTGAGATGGTGTGCTGGCGAAGGCTGGCGAACCTGAAAACAGGCCGGAGCGCCCATCAGCCTAAGGTACGGTAGTAACACCATGTGACGCGACGCGCCCCTTGCCGTGCACGTTGAGCCCGGCGCATTCGCCGCCGCGGGTGGGAAATAAGACGTCTCACTTCTGCCTTGCTTTCACTCTCCTGTCTCCACGTACACGCACGTCGCCTGAGAACTTAGACAAAGATGAAGAAACGGCGACAGCAGCCCAGTGACGATCGTGCGCGGAAGCTCGATCGCATGCTGGCCGAGATGGTCGTTGTCGCACCATCCAAAGACAGACCTGCACAGCGCGGTGCCAAAGCAGCTAAGAAGGAGAAGATCAGATTGAAGGAAGAGCCTGCCGAGCCACGGCTTGAGCCACAGTCGTCTGCGGCGTCGCTAGGCGGGCCAATCGTAATGTCCATGGTCGACTTTTCAATGGTGCTTGGTTTGGTCTTTGGTGGATGCTGCAGGTACGTACATGTCTCATAGAGCATTTGTCAGTTGTTAACCATCATATACAGTAACGTGTGGACATACGAATATCTGCTAAAGATCGAGTCTCGCATAGGTGCGCTATATGCCCTGACTGTTTTCCACGAAGTATTCAATGCCCTCAGGCACCGCCTTAACCTTCTCTCAGATGGCTTTTGTGACCATTCAGTCTCTCCCTCGGTTCCTGACTTTTCACGGACCATATCATCTGCCGCGACTAAAACCGCGACACATCCCTCTCTCCGAGTGGGCTGTGCAAGTTCTCGTGCTCACTGCGGGTTCTCTACTCAACAATTGGGCATTCGCTTACCACGTCCCTCTCACTGTGCAGATTGTTTTTCGCTCTGCGGGTCAGTGTATATGCAGATGCAACCATTTTGTGATTTGATACTAGTGGCCATATTCAGGACTCGCGGTCTCAATGCTCTTTGGCGTAATTTTCCTCAAGAAGATATACACCCTTTCACAGATAGTCCGTCCTTGCTTGCATTCAGTGTTTCTAGCTAATAATCTCTACTCAGACTTCAGTCGTCGTTGTCACCATTGGCGTTATGCTTGCTACCATCCCAACCCCATCTAAGTCCGCTACCCAGGATACCCACTCAAATATAAATCTCACGGAATATACCCTCGGCATTATCATGTTAACCGCCTCTTTACTCATGACCGGCGTGTTAGGGATGCTCCAGGAACGTACTTACACGCTGCATGGGCCGCACTGGCAAGAGGGCCTTTTTTATACTGTACGCATCCTTCTATCCTCCTTACAGCCTTCATTAAGAGAACAATCATTGCAGCACGCCTTGTCGCTCCCCATCTATATCTTCTTCATCCCTGCCATCAAGTTCGGCTTCCAGAGTCTACATGGAGCATCTGCCTCTTTGTTTGCACCCTCTTCATCCACTACGGGTACACTCCTGGGGTTGCAGCATTTGCCACCCGTGTTAAGCAAGTTCGCTCCTTACATGATACTTGCGGTCAACCTCGTGACGCAGCTCGTGTGCGTATCAGGGGTGAACCAGCTCACGTCAGTGCGTCACCTATCCTCTACTTGTATCTTTTCGCACACGGCTGACAACGCATCTTTGGACGGCAGCGCGTGTCGAGCGTGAGCACGAACCTCGTGCTGACGACGCGCAAGGCGTTCAGCCTTTGTTTCAGCGTTTGGTGGTTCGGTAACGGCTGGAACGTACAGCTCGGTGCCGGAGCTGCCATGGTCTTCCTCGGCTCGCTCTTCTATACTATTGTTACGTCGCGGCTGCCCCCGCCACAGAAGGGCACATCCAATGCAGGCAAATCTAAGCCCAAAGGCAAGGACAAGACAGAGCGAAAGATCGCAAGGAAGGAGGCAGCGAAAGAGAATGGGGCAGCGAATGTGCCGAAGGTCAAAGACGAGCCGCAAAGCCCCAAGAGGCTTAGTAGGGAAGAGGAGAAGGTGAATGCGAACGCGAATACAGATGGGAGGCGAAGGATGGCAGGGCAGCGGCTTAAACGAGAATGACGAGACTGCATGCCGTTAATCTCCTGGAGCCCAGTAACGAGTAAAGTGCGCAGCAAGGCTATATAGTGACAGCCGTAGTCGCGTGCGAAGCTCAATCATCAGCGCCACAGGTGCTTTCCCCGAGTTCAGGGCGTGCCTCCCCCAGCTAGGCATGCCAAGCCAGCCTCCAAACCCCCAATTTTTCTTCCCAAAATAGCTCCTGGATTGTAAATAGCGTGACAGCAGTCAAGCATTCATGCATCACCTCTTCCAGCGATCCGACATAGTAGTTCGGCAACTTTGACCATTCAGGCTAATGTTCTACTATGCTTGCCACCTTGAGGGCTATGAAAAATTAAGATGGTACCACTCAGTCCGCACAAAAAGGAAGAGAAGATCACTTCTAAGGCTCCAACCGTTTTGTTTGTTTACTGTGTATAAACGTTTATTACCGTTTACTGTTTCCATTTGTTTACACGGAGCCTTGTAAACTTGCTGTAAACGTTTATACACAGTAAACACACAGTTTTCTCATGTAATATGTGATGGTCTCTGAGTCTCATATGTCTTTATTTTACTAACAGAGATGGCCGGTTTATGGCAAGCTGCGGCGCACGCTCTACCGCCCGACAGCTGGACGGTACGACAGCGCTAAGCGCCAGAGGCCGCCGCGCCGCCGCGACCGCGTGTACAGCGTCGGGATGTGGGTTGCTAGGGCGCAAACTCATCGATAACACTCCAGATATCAAGATAAGCAAGCGTGATAATAAAATATATTTATCCCGCAAGATTTACAGCCTGGGGGTTCATGCTGGCATGCTAAGACATCGGACCTGTCTTCTTGAGCCCTTGAACACCCACGTCGTGCTCCACCACGCTGCGCCCCTTCTCACCTATGAGCCCTCCAACACTTGAAGATATTTGCAAGCTCGTTCAAGAGCTCACGGACCTTGCACCAGCATTGCCAGAGTCAGTCCCTCTTGCAAAAAAAACCGACAGAATCAGCAAGATTCTTGCCAGCACACAAGGTGAAGACGAGTTCCACACCTTCAATCGTCGCTACAATGCGTTGTTCGGAGTGGACTGTCGTATCGGACCTCGAATGCGATATGTCACCCGCGGGAAGTATGGGATGCTGGCTTGGTGCGAGT